TCCCGTTGCCGGTCCCCGGTCCGGTACGGGGGCAACACTGAGGGTTGCGATCCGTTGCCGGACACGGAAAAAGACAAAAGACAAAAAAAAAAAAATTTTAAAGCCTTTGAATCATATTATTCTTTCAACAAAGTGAAATTTCCTATAGTTTTTTGTTTTTACCTAGGATTATTAACTCAACAAGGTCAGGACTTGCCTTTTCTTTCATCTTTAAAAATTTCTCCAAGCATCCAGAATGATCTTAATAAGTTATTTGCTAAGTAATCCTATCACAACTAGTTCTCACCCCTACTACTCTATTTCAAGGGAAGGCAAGGGATTTGCCTTCTGTTAGCTGGGCCCGTCTTTTGACCACGATGAAACAAGTTGCTACAAACCTCATTCAGAATCCCTTTCTCTCACCACCATGTGGTCTGTTTTAAGTGGTCTCTGATCCCTGGCCCAACAACTTCTCGTTCACAAGTTTTCTAGCTGTTTTATACTTTGTAATTCATTTTCTAATTCTGTCATAATTCTCCCCTGTATATCCTTCCCTCCAGGCCTGTTTCCACCACATGCTCTGACAACTTTGATATCTTTCTGAGAAAATTTTTCTTAAATCCACATGAGTACCAATTAGGACATCTCAGGTACAAACCAAGAATCAGGCTAAGGACCATAACGCTGAAGCTTTTGAGCAAGAAAAGAGACTCAGAAGTCATCTTTGTTCAACCTCTTCATGTTCTAGGAGTAAAGAGAAAGTGACGGTCCCAAGGTACAAGTGGCAGAGGGCAGGTCTCCTCGTTGCCAAGTGCATTCTCCTCCCACCGTGCTCTGCTCCCTCCTGCAACAAATGCTGTTTGTAACAAGACAGAAGCAGAGGCTGGGAGAGAAAACGTCTCTGGCAGCTTCTCCACCACCAAAACGCAACCTGTACAGGAGATGAGAGCAGGGCTGCTACCAGTGCCCTGCACCACTCTAGGTAAATAAATAAAGTTTTTTGGAACACAGCCATGCCCATTTGTTTACATGTTGTCTGTGGTGGCTTTTGTGCCACAACAACTGCACTGAGTAGTTACAGTGAGACTGTATGGCCACAAAACCAGAAATATCTCCTATATGGCTTTTTACGGGAAAAGCTTCCCAGTCCCTATTGCAGATGATAGGAGATAAAATGACCACAATAATGACAACTTATTATCATTAGAAGAAGGAGAAAACAAAGGAGGAGGAGGAACAGAAGAGGAAGAAAAAATATTCATGGAGTACTTGACTGCGTATTAGGCCCTATGCTAAGGGCTGCAAACGTATTATCTCATTTAATCCTCACCATTAACCTTTGAGAAAGGTATTATCACTTTCCCATTATAAACCAGGACGTCAAACACAGAAAGTAATTTGTCCAAGGTCACCAAACAGTAAAGGGTAGAAGTAAAAATCAAATCCAGATCCCGCTCTATAAGGTAATACTCTATAACAGAGAAATACAAATTTTGGTTTTATACGAATATAACCTTCAGGAGCTCAGCATGGTAGAAGGCAGCCTAGAACTGTGAAGAAAGGATTTGGAATTGGGAGGCTTGGGGTAAAGTCTGATGCCTTGCACTCTTGAGCAGGGCAATTACTATTTCTGAGCCTCACCTGATTAGGGTGACCACCCCAAGTGCTGTTGAAAGAATCTAATGAAACACTATAATTTTTTTTAAATTTAAGGCACTATGCAAGTAATAATTATTGGGATCACAATCAAGTTGAAGAGTTAAAATTAACTCATATCAAACAACTTCATTTTAATTACACCCCTTAAGCTCAGTTGATTAGAGCACGGCGCTGATAACACCAAGGTCCAGGGTTCATTCCCTGTACCAGCTAGTGCTAGTGCTAAAAAAAAATTAATTTCACCCCTTACTATTGTGGAACATTAGCTTTTCAAGCTCAGTTTTATAAGTGTGTTTCAGCAGGTGATCCTAGGAATGCCAGGGAAGCAGAGACCGGGACAGGTGGAATAGTCAGAGAAGCTCCTGGAGGAAGTGGAACTTAATCCATTAACAACATTTGGAGAGCTAAGGGCAGTCCAGGTGAACAACACAGGTGAAGATGCAGAGGTGGACTGAACATGGGGTTTGGATGGGTCAGTGAAAAGCCCAAGCAAAGAGAGAGGCTGATAATGAGGTCCTTGAAAGCCAGGCCCAGGGCTGTGGGCCTCATGTAGTAGGCAGTAGAGTTGCTAATAGGAATTTGGGGGTTGGACTTGCAAAAGGAAGCATTAGGGAAGAGGAGCCAGCACCTGCATATTGGATATCCAGCCCTAAGTTGTAAGCAAAAGAACTTTCCTAACTACTTGTAACCTCCACTGCCTCAATCCCCACCCACTCCCCTCCAGCCTTGAGTCAGAGGACCTAGAAAGAACATAAAGTGCCTAATGTCCCTCAACATGCTGGGTGGCAGGCGCTCAGCAGTAAATGTCCAGTGTCGATTACAAATGTAAAATTACCAACATTAAAACCAGTCATAGTTACTACTTCAACCACTTCATTTTGCTTTGTGTTTGCTTAATGAAGAAGGAATTCCCTACAGGAAAAGTGGAAGGGGACAGACACACATCGTGATCAAGGACAGTGTCCGGATTTACCTTGCTGCTTTTACCAAGGGCTTTGTCTTTCACATCGGCTCTTGTAGAAATAAGAGAAAAACACCGCTGGCCAATGTTCTTAAAGTCCCAACTCTTCCATGAAGAATATGGGAGAAGAGCTATGCTTGTCTCATTACCTCTGTGTCCTTTTCCCAGGACAGTAACATTGTAGTTGTTGAATTGAATTGAAATAAATTATACCACATGGGCCTTCAATAAACACCTGTTGACACAATGCAGAGAGCTTTGTGCCAGACTCGGTAGGTCTACCTGTCCAAGCCAGGAGACCTATGTTTTGGGCATAACCATAACAGTGACTAAAATTTTCAGCCAGCCATGACAATAGGGGAAATTCTTAAAAATATCTGATCCTACCCTGGCCACACAAACTGCCCTTTGCTTTACTTTCTCTTTCTCTCTCTGCAAACCAGGCTCTCGGGCCATCACTCCCCAGTGCTCAATAACAGCAAAAGGAATGACAAGACATTCAGCAGAAAGGACAGACACAGACAGCCCTGTTGTGCTTGGGGTTCCTTTAACTAGCAAAGAGACAGCTACCCTGAATAATCAAGTCCCAGCAATAACAGCAAAAGGAATGACAAGACATTCAGCAGAAAGGACAGACACAGACAGCCCTCACTCAGGGGCATGTTGTGCTTGGGGTTCCTTTAACTAGCAAAGAGACAGCTACCCTGAATAATCAAGTCCCAGGAGCCCACGAACAGGCCCAGACACCTGAGCCTGACACCATCGGTCCCCTGGGCAGGTCTGCAAAGCAGAAACCAGCCATCTTCCCCATGAGGAAACAAAGCACCACAGGCCCAGCCCCACAGTGTACATGCTACATACATGTCTGACATGCGCTTGAAGATTCTTCAGCCCGAAGGACCGAATCACGAACCAGAGTTTAATAGAGCGAAACCGCCGGCTCAGGGGGATCTGCCAGTGCTAGAAACGAAGGAACACAGTGGCCACAATTAGAGACAAGGGTACCTGCTCCCCTGAGTGCTCCTTAACATTGTTCATCACCTGCCCAGCCCTCCAGGGATGGACGGTGTCACCATGACTACTGAAGCTGTTGCTAAGGAGCAAGCCAAGGCAAGTTACCCAAAGCCTGCTGATGAAGGAGGCCATCAGTCCCTTGTGCAAGAGCAGAGCAAGCAGAAACCAAGTCCATGACCTTGAACCAATGAGAAGGGCACTTTGCTTTAAATGCTGCTTTAAACATTTCATCCCAGCCCAGAAATTCAAAATAGGGGCAATACATTTTTCCTCTAAAAGAACCTAAGGTCCTTGAATAGCAGAAAATAAAGTTCTATTTTGATTCCCCCCAAAATGTAAAGTATAGTGGTTGGTACAGTTTGAATATGTTGTCCCCCCAAAGTTCATGTGGAAATTGGATCCCCGGTGTGGCAATGTTGGGAGGTGTTTGGGTCATGGGGTGTGTCCCTCATAAATGGATGAATGCCCTCCACGGGAGGGGGAAGTTAGTGAGTGAATTCTCGCTCTATTAGTTCCCACAAGAGCTGGTTGGCCAAAGGACCCTGGCACCTCCTGTCCCTCTGTCCCTCCCTCCCTCTCTCCCTCCCTTCCTCCCTCTCTCTCTCTCTGTCTGTCTCTCACTTCCTCTCGCCATGTGATCTGCTTGTACCCGCTGGCTGCCCTGCCGTTTTCCACCCTGAGTAGAAGCAGCCTGAGGCCCACACCAGATGCAGCTGTCCCAGAATAAGCCAAATAAGCCTCTTTTCTTTATAAATT